ATTATGAATTATCAAACTTCGTGTCAATAATATCTGCTTCAGCCTTCGGCTTCGGCAGATAACTCAGACCTAAGTGGTGATATTTCACGATATCATTCTCAGTATCATCCTATAATTGCGTATTTTTCTGAGAGTCATGGCGTCATATGGCGTGTCGGTAAGAATGCCTCATAAAACTGACAGCTAATTCTTTTTCAGATGGATTTGAGCCAACTGGAATAATTGATAATATTCGTCAACTCTACAAAAATCGGGAAGGTTGGCTGGCACCGTTTCCCTGGTGTGAAGATTTTCACTTCTCCTTTGACGACATCTACACAAGACTCAAAGTCATCTACAGAAAGAAAACGAGAGGAACCGCAACAGACCGAGTTGTCACCATGTCTGAAATCTTCAACCGGCACGAGGAATGTGAAGAACCAAGAGTAGTATTGATTGAAGGGGAGCCTGGTATGGGAAAGACAACTTACTGTAAAAAAGTTGTTTACGACTGGGCCACGGGAAAACAAGCAACCGGAAATTGCTTCCCAAACTTCGTAATAGTGCTTTTGATCAAATGTCGTGATGTTGAGTCTGGCCTTTGGGAGGCCATTGAAGATCAAATTCTGCCTCGAGAAGTTGGTGAAGACGAACGCGAGAGATTCTTCGACTTCATTCGCCACAACCAATCTAATGTTCTTCTAATACTCGATGGATTGGATGAAGTTTCTGAGGAGAAGCTAGCTATGTTTTCAGAAGTTATTGAAGGCCGAGTACTGCCAAACTGTCGCGTGGTTGCAACGGCACGACACGAAGCTGGAGTCAAAGTTCGAAAATACTGCGACACGCTACTAGAGGTTGAGGGATTTACTGAAAAGGATGTACAATCCTTCATCAGAAAGTACTTCAAAGACAAACCAAACTTGGCCAAGCAGCTTACCAAACACATAATTGCTGATTACAATTTATATGAAATATCGACCAATCCTCTCAACGCTGCGCTTCTTTGCCTGGTCTATGAAGATTTGAAAGGTGTATTTCCTGAAAGTAGAACGAAGCTGTACATGGAAATGGTGGAGTGTGTATTAAGGAGGTACAGAACAAAGCAGCAACTACCAGAAAATGGTGAAGACCTTGTTGACCTTTACGAAAGCCAATTGAAACACCTTGGTTCGATAGCTTTGAAAGGTTTACTTGAAGACAACTTGGATTTTGACGAGAAGGAGCTTAGAAAACACAAAGCAAGCGATTTACCTGGATTTGGATTTCTGTCAGTTCAGCCTGGAGGCAGTAGACTAAGACCAACTAGACGTTATGGCTTTCTTCACAAGACTTTCCAAGAATTCTTCGCAGCATTCTATCTCAGTTGTCAGCTTATCAAGAAAGAAATCGGCACGAATAGCATAGGTAAGGTTATAGGATCTCACTATAAGCTGAAAGAAGTGCTTCTGTTTACATTTGGTATGCTTGCCGCACGATGCGAGGAAACAGCGGCAAACCTTCTGAAAATTATAGCAACAACAGAGGGACACTTGACTCTCATACGTGAGTGTGTTGATGAATGCAAAAAGGAGAACAAAGATATTGTTGAAAAATTGGGTTCCGCCGTTGGTGCTTCTCTTCAAATTGAATTTCTAGGTTTTTCAGGGAGAGAAATAGATGAAACTTTAGCTGTCTTTTTGAGCAACTTTCTTAAAACAAATACAATTGTGACAACGTGTGACTTGAGGAACCCTTTGATAAATGTAGCTGCTGCTCTGGCTGAGGGTTTGAAATACAATACATCGCTGACAACGTTGAATTTGTATGGTAATAAAATTGGTCATGATGGTGCTGCTGCTCTGGGTGAGTGTTTGAAATATAATACATCGCTGACATGGTTGGATTTGAATACAAATGAAATTGGTGATGATGGTGCTGCTGCTCTGGGTGAGGGTTTGAAATATAATACATCGCTGACAACGTTGAATTTGTATGGTAATAAAATTGGTGATGATGGTGCTGCTGCTCTGGGTGAGAGTTTGAAATATAACAAATCGCTAACAACGTTGTATTTGGATCGTAATAAAATTGGTCATGATGGTGCTGCTGCTCTGGGTGAGTGTTTGAAATCCAACAAATCGCTGACAACGTTGTATTTGCATTTTAATAAAATTGGTGATGATGGTGCTGCTGCTCTGGTTGTTGCGCAGGAGTGTCATCCACATCTGACAATACTTGGAATAAATTGAACCCTCCTAGAACATGGCTACCTTGCCCTATGACCAACTTTAAGAAGCGTTTACGTCAGGAATAAGCAGCAATTAATGACTCTGACCTTGAACAGGGTAAATGTACACTACCTTCCATTTATCGATATCAGTATTAGTATAAGAGTTACGTAGCATCTGTTTACCAAGATGATTTACTTTGGTAAGAGCTTTTATAAAAGCTTGCACGTTTAGTCAAGAGACCGTTACACTTTATTACAATCTTATCTATACAGCTTTTACCTTGTCACGTTTAATTGATAAAGCTGTTAAAAGAAACTGTGCTTCATCTGTAACGCGCGTGCTTGTAAACCACCAGATTATCCGCGCGAGAATAATTTGGAAACATTAGACTGCCTCGGATTTTGTTGTAGTTGAAAATCGGATGTAACATTTTTTGTCTTTAGCAATAAATTCTGCTCACATATTTTTTTTTTTGAGAGGGACTGCCATAATTGGTTAAACGTTGGAGTAATTATTCTTTGGTGATCAGTTTATTGATTCTCATAAACTTACTTCAGTGTGATAATCTGCTGACACTTAAGTCTTGTGAGAAATTTGAAATTGATAATTCTTAGGGTGCAAAGAGCTAATTAATCGACTTGTAGCCATGTTGTATGGTAAGACTCTTTATGATGACTCTGTGAGGCTTTGCTGTAGACTGTGAAGAACAATTTATTTTTCGAAGTGAACTTTTTTTAGAAAAGTTGTCACAAGATATTTTTTTCTAATTTTGTAAGGGTAAGTTTACTTGAACCATTTATGTATTTCTTAAGACGTAACTGATATAAATAAAGGTACTTTCAGTAGAATTTCAGTTTTTCTCCTGAATTTTTTGTTGATGTGTTTACTTTTTTTGCGTTCTTCCAGAAAGTCCGTTTGATTACGATGCTCCTTAGCCTGCTGCTTCCTTTCTTCAATTCTCTTTTTTCGTTTGATATTTCTTGTAAACTGACCCATGGTCGATGCAATTTGGAT